ACGACATTGACCATTAATTAATTAATTATTTAAAACGGAAAATAAATATATAAAACAACTGAAACAACAACTGAAATATATTTTTTTTTTATTTTACACAAACATCTTTTCTGATATAATATACAGAGTTGCCAGATTTGGAAAACCAAGAAAACCGGGAAAAGTCAGGGAAATTAAAATTCGTAATGGAAAAATTAGGAGAAAATGTAAAAAAGTTTGGAATTTTGAAATTTACTTACAATTATATTACTTATATATTACTTATAATTTTTTAAATATTATATCTAATATTTATATCAAATACATTCAAAACTTGTGCATTTTAAACGATTTTAATAAAATGATTAAAAATTATATTTTCTTCAATATTTTATTTGATTTCTCTTTTTCGCTATAATTCTTTTTTCCAAAACTAATTTATTTTTTGTCGGTTTGAATTTGCATTCAAAATTGTACTGTTAAGTTTTTTTTTTCATTGTTTTTAATAATATAGACTAACTTTCCTATAATCCTAAAGTCTAAATGTATAATTGTATAATTAAATGAAATGTATAATTTACATATTTTATATTTCTCATGGAAAATTTTCTATTTTTATCTGGATAGTCAAGGAATTTTAAAATTCATTTTCTGTGATATCCCTGATATTTTTTTCTAGATTGCTTATTAGCTAACAAATGTAATTAAATTGCGTACATTACGTTTTGGAATCCGCTGCTATGATCAATCAATCTTTGAGAAATCAAACATAAGAAATATATATGTATCAATTGCGCTAAATTAGCAGAAAGGATTCTGATATTTTCGTACAGTTGATTATCTACCATTATTAACTAAAATTACACGTTATTAAACGTTTTCAAATAAAAAAGGAATTATCGTTTAAAACTTCCATATACAGTGAGAGCAAAAAGTATTCGTATAAGGAAATTTGATATAAAAAAAGTTTTACTTGTAGAAATATTGATTAGCAATTTATTATATTATATATATAAAAAATAAATTCTATCCTATACTATAAACGAACGAGCTTCGTATGTATTCCTGATTTTAGAAGCTAAATTTCTCTGTAAGAATATTTTTTGAGCATTCAAACAATACAATTTTTAATTATCGCTTTTTTTTAGATAATATATTTTGTATAATTAATACATATCTTTTGGTACCTTTTATATAATTTTATATTAGGTATACAACTTTGTTTCCGCCGTTTTTTTTCCGAAATTCGAGGCTTTATTGTAAAAAACTGGTTATACATTTATGATTCAAAGTATTGTCCATCGCTGGCCACTACTTTCTCCCATCTTTCGGATAGCGTACGAATC